GAGACAAGCTCGAGCCCGTGCACGTGGTGGATGCTACCCTAGACCGCAGACCAAGTCCTTGAATCGGGCATTGGCTCCCTGGGGTGGTACGAGCAGAAGCTGCGATTGCGAGCTTGGCCCGGCCAAGTCTTTTAGTATTTGACGGTCTCGAGGTCCCTTCTCATCGACCATAAAAATGCCTTGGCCTTGACGAGGCCGTGCACACAGTCGATGCTACCCAAGACCCTAGGAACAAGTCCCTAAATCGAGCAACGTCCCCCTGGGGTGGTGTCAGCGGAGCTCACGCATGCGGTCATGGCCAGGCCAAGCATTGGTGGTATCACGCCGTTGTTGCCTGTTGGATGGCAAGGGCAGGCTCATGGCCCTTGTTTATGTTTTTCCCGTGCCAAGCGGTTGTGGCGTGGCCTCGCACATCATTTCTTTCGCTCACTCATCGAGTAATCGATTGGGTGGGTTGTGGATCGATGCGCATGGATGCTACCACTTGTATGTAATTGGCATATGAGTGGTGCTATGGTTGTGCATGTTGGCAGGCTTCGTGCTCGGTGCATCGAACTGTCAACCCATCATCCTCTTCAATCTCTCCCCATGCGGTCATCATACGCTGAGGGTACGATCGGGATCCTATGCTGTATACCTGAATTGATGGAAATCGGATGTCTCACCATCCCTCATCCGTCTCATGTCCTGAGGGGCTATGGGTCAGACGTCAATCTTGGCTGGTGTCCGCATTGGTGCACCGGTGTTCGATCGTGCTCTTGGATGCAGAATGTTTAGCGGGCGTGGGCTCTTGACCCCTGTTCATCCGATCCTATGCATTTCATGTGCTTAACGCGCATGATGCTTGCGCTCCGCATTGGGCTCTCTTCGTCGTTTGGTTGATGCGTCGAGGCCCACGCGGTGTCAACGTCCCAAAAGAATGTTACCTAGATGATCCTGCCAGTAGTCATATGCTTGTCTCAAAGATTAAGCCATGCATGTGTAAGTATGAACTAATTTAGACTGTGAAAATGCGAATGGCTCATTAAATCAGTTATAGTTTGTTTGATGGTATCTACTACTCGGATAACCATAGTAATTTTAGAGCTAATGCATGCAACAAACCCTGACTTTTGGAAGGGATGCATTTATTAGATAAAAGGTCGACGCGGGCTACGCTCGTTGCTCTGATGATTCATGATAACTCGATGGATCACACGGCTTTTGTGCTGGTGACGCATCATTCAAATTTTTTCCCTATCAACTTTCGATGGTAGGATAGTGGCCTACTATGGTGGTGATGGGTGACGGAGAATTAGGGTTCGATTCCTGAGAGGGAGCTTGAGAAATGGCTACCACATCTAAGGAAGGCAGCAGGCGCGTAAATTACCCAATTCTGACATAGAGAGGTAGTGACAATAAATAACAATATCGGGTTCTATGAGTCTGGTAATTGGATTGAGTACAATCTAAATCCCTTAATGAGGATCCATTAGAGGGCAAGTCTGGTGCCAGCAGCCACGGTAATTCTAGCTCTAATAGCGTATATTTAAGTTATCTGGTCTATCTCACGGTGAGCACCGATCTACTCATCCCTACTGTCGGTGATGTGCTCTTGGACTTAATTGCTCGGGTCTTTCCTTCGACGCTGTTACTTTGAAGAAATTAGAGTGCTCAAAGCAGGCGTACGCTTGTATATATTAGCATGGGATAACATCATAGGATTTTTGTCCTATTGTGTTGGCCTTCAGATCAGAGTAATGATTAACAGAGACAGTCAGGGCCATTCGTATTTCATAGTCAGAGGTGAAATTCTTAGATTTATGAAAGACGAACAATTGTGAAAGCATTTGCCAAGGATGTTTTCATTAATCAAGAATGAAAGTTAGGGGCTCGAAGACGATCAGATACCGTCCTAGTCTCAACCATAAATAATGCCGACCAGGGATCCGCGAATGTTACTTTTTGGACTCCGTCGGTACCTTATGAGAAATCAAAGTCTTTAGGTTCCGGGGGGAGTATGGTCGCAAGGCTGAAACTTAAAGGAATTGACAGAAGGGCACCACCAGGAGTGGAGCCTACGGCTTAATTTGACTCAACACAGAGAAACTTACTAGGTCCAGACATAGTAAGGATTGACAGACTGAGAGCTCTTTCTTGATTCTATGGGTGGTGGTGCATGGCCGTTCTTAATTGGTGGAGCAATTTGTCTGGTTAATGTCGTTAATGAATGAGACCTCAGCCTGCTAACTAGCTATACGGAGGTGATCCTTCGTGGCTAGCTTCTTAGAGGGACTATGGCCGCTTAGGCCAAGGAAGTTTGAGGCAATGACAGGTCTGTGACGCCCTTAGATGTTCTGGGTCGCACGTGCACTACAATGATGTATTCAACGAGTCTATAGCCTTGGTGGACAGGCCTAGGTAATCTTTAAAATTTCATCATGATGGGGATAGATCATTGCAATTGTTGGTCTTTAACGAGGAATTCCTAGTAAGTATGAGTCATCAGCTCCCGTTGACTACGTCTTTACCCTTCGTACACATCGCCCATCGCTCCTACCAATTGAATGGTCCAGTGAAGTGTTCGGATCACAGTAACGTGGATGGTTCACCACCTGCAATGTCGTAAGAAGTCCATTGAACCTTATCATTTAGAGGAAGGAGAAGTCGTAACAAGGTTTTTCGTAGATGAACCTGTGGAAGGATCATTATCGAAACCCCGCTCGACGGATGACCCACGGATGCGTTCATGAAAATCGAAGGGGTGAGGGTCCCCCCGTGCCCCAAGCCCTTCTGACCTTGGGTGAGTGCAACGGTCGCTTCGTGCCCCCTATCGGGCAGGCAAAATGATCGACGTCGTCTCCTTTGCTATCGAACAACGAACCCCCGATGTGAATCGTGCCAAGGAACCGAAACAAAAATAGAGCACGCGCGTCATCACCATCCCATTCGTGATGCGTGCACGGGCAGCATCGCGACTCTTTTTGTCACGAAAAAATGAAATGACTCTCGGCAACGGATATCTCGACTCTCGCATCAATGAAGAATGTAGCGAAATGCGATACTTGGTGTGAATTGCAGAATCTCATGAACCATCGAGTCTTTCAACGCAAGTTGTACCCCAATCCATTAGGTCGAGGGCATGCCTACCTGGGTGTCATGCACCGTCGCCCCCCTTGACCCCCGCCCATCGGGCTCCGAGGGAAGGGGGCGGGTGTAAGATGGCCTTCCGTGATCCCGTCGATCACGATTGGCCCAAAAGCGAGTCCCCGACAATGATAGTGCCGTGACTGTTGGTGGTAGAGCTCTCGACGTGCCTCGTCCTCGGTGACGTGTGCTCGTTGTCCACCCGACCCTGTCGAACCCCCCGCATCGCTCAATTGATGCTCGTGTAGCAACCCTAGGTCAGGCAATACCACTTACTGAGTTTAAGCATATCAATAAACGGAGGAACAAAAACTTACTAGGATTCCCCTAGTTACGGTGAGTGAATCGAGAAGAGCCCAGCTTGAGAATCAAGCACCCCCGATGACCAAATTTTAGTCTGGAGAAGCGTCCTCAGCAGTGGACCGGGCCTAAGTCCCCTGGAAAGGGGTGCCAGAGAGGGTGAGAGCCCCATTGTGCCAAGACCCTGTCGCACCACATGGCGCTATCCACAAGTCAGATTGTTTGGGAATGCAGCCCCAATCGGGTAGTAAATTCCGTCCAAGGCTGAATACAAGCGAGAAACCGATAATGACCAAGTACCACGAGGGAAAGATGAAAAGGACTTTGAAAAGGGAGTCAAAGAGTGTATGAAATTGTCAGGAAGGAAGCGAATGGGGGCCTATGCCCCAATCGGATGTGGAATGACAAGAGCCGATCCGACGATCAGCTTGGGGCATGGACCAACGTGAGTCGCATCGATGACCTAAGCCTAGGCTTTCGATGTGCCCGTGGAGACATCATCATCGTGATCATGGAATGCAGCATGTGTCGTGTCGATGTGCCTCGGCACCCGCGTGCTCCTGATGTCGACCTGTGGGCTCCCCATCCGACCCGTCTTGAAACACGGACCAAGGAGTCTGACATGCATACGAGTCAACAGGCCAAGAAACCCGTAAGGCGTAAGGAAGCTGATTGGCAGGATCCCTCACGGGTACACCATCGATCGACTTTGATCTTCTAAGAAGGGTTCGAGTGCGACCATGCCCGTCGAGACCCAAAAGATGGTGAACTTTGCCTAAGTGGGGCAAAGCCAAAGGAAACTCTGGTGGAGGCTCGCAGTGATATTGACGTGCAAATTGTTCGTCTGACTTGGGTATAGGGGCGAAAGACTAACGAACTATCTAGTAGCTGGTTCCCTCTAAAGTTTCCCTCCGGATAGCTGGAGCCCCCGGTGAGTTCTATCGAGTAAAGCCAATGATTAGAGGCATCGGGGGCGCAATGCCCTTGACCTATTCTCAAACTTTAAATAGGTAGGACGGTGCAGCTGCTTCATTAAGCCTTGCCACAGAATCGAGAGCTCCAAGTAGGCCATTTTTGGTAAGCAGAACTGGCGATGTAGGATGAACTGGAGTCAGTTACGGTGCCCAACTGTGCACTAACCCAAAACCCACAAAGGGTGTTGGTTGATTACGACAATAGGACGGTGGTCATGGAAGTCAAAATCCGCTAAGGAGTTTGTAGCAACTAGCCCTGAAAATGGATGGCACTCAACGGGGGCTTCAGGAAGAGTTATCTTTTCTATTTAACGGCTTGCCCACCATGGAAACGTCTCAACCTGAGGTAAGGTCCAGTGGTCGAAAAAGCACCGCATGTCATGTGGTGTTCGGTGCGCCCCTGGTAGCCCTTAAAAATTTAGAAGATTGAATACCGTCTGCGCCCGATCATACTCATAACCGCATCAGGTCTCCAAAGTGAACAACCTTTGGTCGATGGAATAATGTAGGTAAGGGAAGTCAGTAAAATGGATCCATAACATCGGGAAAAGGATTGGCTCTGAGGGCTGGGCATGGGGGTCCTAGTCTCAAACCCGTCGGCTACTGATGCACTGCTCGAGCTGCTCTCACGATGAGAGCGGGTCGTCGTGTGCCAGTCAAGGATGGACTACGAACGGCTCCTTCGGGGGCCTTCCCTGAGCACCGAACAATCGACTTAGAACTGGTATGGATAAGGGGAATCTAACTATTTAATTAAAACAAAGCATTGTGATGGTCCTACGGATGTTCATGCAATGTGATTTCTGCCCAGTGCTCTAACTGTCAAAGTGAAGAAATTCAATCAAGCGTGGGTAAATGGTAGGAGTAACTATGACTCTCTTAAGGTAGCCAAATGCCTCATCATCTAATTAGTGATGCGCATGAATGGATTAACGAGATTCCCACTATCCTTGTCTACTATCCAGTGAAACCACAGCCAAAGGAACAGGCTTGGTGGAATCAACGGGGAAAGAAAACCCTGTTGAGCTTGACTCTAGGTCGACTTTGTGAACCGACTTGAAAGGTGTAGGATAAGTGGGAGCCCTCGGGCGAAATTGAAATACCACTACTTTTAATGTTATTTTACTTATTTCGTGAATCGAAGATGGGGCACGACCCCTTCTTTTGGACCTAAGGTCAGCCTCAGTTGGTCGATCCGGGCAAAAGACATTGTCAGGTGGGGAGTTTAGCTGGGTTGGCACATCTGTTAAAAGATAACGTAGATGTCCTAAGATGAGCTCAACGAGAACAGAAATCTCGTGTGGAAGAAAAGGGTAAAAGCTCATTTTATTCTGATTTCCAGTACGAATACGAATTGTGAAAGCGTGGCCTATTGATCCTTTAGACCTTCGAGATTTGAAGCTAGAGGTGTCAAAAAAGTTACCACAGGGATATCTAGCTTGTGGCAGCCAAGCATTCATAGTGACATTACTTTTTGATCCTTCAATGTCGGCTCTTCCTATCATTATGAAGTAGAATTCACCAAGTGTTGGATTGTTCACCCACCAATAGGGAACGTGAGCTGGGTTTAGACTGTCGTGAGATGATTAGTTTTACCCTACTGATGGCGACGTCGTAATAGTAATTCAACCTAGTACGAGAGGAACTGTTGATTCGCATAATTGGTCATTGCGCTTGGTTGAAAAGCTAGTGGTGCGAAGCTACCATGTGCTGGATTATGACTGAATGCCTCTAAGTCAGAATTAAAGTTGGAAGAGGCGCGCGCCCGTCGCCCGATTGCCAACCCTTAGTAGGGGCCCATGGCCCTCAAGAGCACGTGTCGTAGGTGCAGCCCCTACGGCAGATGAGCTGCACTGGCCTCCTTGGAGCTCAATTCCTATCGAGCGGTGGTATAATCTTTTACAGATGACTTAAATATGCGATGGGGTATTGTAAGTGGTAGAGTGGCCTTGCTTCCACGATCCACTAAGATTCAACCCTTTATCGCTTCAATTTGTCCCTCCCCCCTCCCCTCCCCTCCCCCTCCCTTTCCTCCACCGACCTTTCTTCTTTTAGGCCACCCCCTTTCGAGGTTGGGCATGACCCAAGGCCCTTCATCCCTTGATCCCAATCGAGAATGAACTTTATATGCCTAAGTCAATGTATGGAACGAGCGTACGGGCACTAAGCCAGCCAGAGAGGTAGAATGCGCAAGTTGAGGATCGATCGAGTCCCCTTCTATGTGCTACCGATCTTGCTACGGTTCCTGCTGCCACAACCCTCGCTTTGATCGGAGCTTAGACTAGGAATGAACTCCGTATGCCTAAGTCAACCTACGAAACAAGCGTGCGGGCACTAAATTGACCAGAAAGATAGAATATGCAAGTTGAGGATCGGCCTGTTCCCCCTTATGTACGGGCATGTTGTGGGCATGGTCCCAGTGCCGCAGATAGGCCGAACTTCTGGGCAGGCAGTCTGGACAACAATAGCAATGACTATTACTGGAACCCCTACCTCTGCGTACGATGCTCGAGCCTTGGCCGCTGGGGTACGGGCCTCAACTCCTAGTGTGCACGCCCAAGGTGCGACACTGGCAATTACTGTGGGTTGCTACCTCGGACACCCCTAGTCTGACCGTATGCCCACACCTCGATCATCAGTGCCTGTACATCGGTCTGACTGTGTGCTCGTGCACCGTTCACCAACACCCACACCTGGGCTTGGCTCAATTCTACCAAACCTAACATCGTGTCTGAGCCCTTGGAGTCCTGATCACTGCCCCGTACCACTGGCTTGATCCAATTCCCTATGACCTGCACCTCAAGTAGGCCTCAAGGGTTGGTCCCTGTTGGCTGTCGAACCCTATCCCACTACAACCCCAGGGCCAGTCCCGACTTGCTTGCTGACCGCGACACATGCGCATGCCTCGACCACCATCGAGACATGTTGGCCCTTGGTCTCGACACATGCTTCGATCGCCATTGATGCATGCTGGACCTTAGTGCGGGCAGTTCCTTCGAACAGCATCGACCCATGCTGGGTTACGCATTAAGTGGCCGCACTTGGGCTCAGGCCGTGCACCCTGCACACCACTATCGGGCAGTAGGTGGGTTCAGGGATATCTTTATTTTTCTATAGTGCCAAAGCCATTTTTGTGGTCCATGAATTCATATGAGAGCTCCCCAATGCCCGTGCACCACGCGCAGGTGTCCTTATCCCGGGCTGAGCACAAATGATCACCACAATCGGGTGGCAGGTGGGTTCAGGAACATCTTCATATTTCTGCCATGCCAATGACATTTTTATGGCTTGTGAATTCATATGAGCACTCCCCAGCGCCTGCACACCACCCGCAGGTGTCCTGAGCCCGGGTCGAGCACATGTGCGCCACGATCGGGTGTAGGTGGGTTTTGACACATCTTCATATTTCTGCCATGTCAATGACATTTTTGTGGCTTGTAAATTCATACAACGGTCCCCTAAGCCTTCATGTGAAGTTTCATGGCAAGATGACTCGTTTTCTATTTTTCATGATTTTTGAAATTTTTTGCAGTTCAAGATTTTTTAAACTTTTTTTAGAAGGAGTTTTGGCCCCAAATTTGGTAGATCTTATCCTTGTATTTTTGTTGCCATGCACAAAAAAATTCAATTAAAAACTCGAAGTGTAGAAGATTTGTGGCCATTTTAAAAAAGTGTACCCATTTCAGACACTTGAATGGTTACTGGCAGCAAATCTATAAAATCTCATATGCTCTTTAAGGGGGTGTGAGTTGTCGAGGCTTGCTGAGGATAGGGGGTCAATATAAGGGCCAAGTACAAGCACCCATCACACATCATGTGCGCACACCCCCCGGACCATCAATCGTCAGAACCCCCAATGCCGTCAGTCAGGTTCTCCAATGATGCTCCGACGATGGTGCCTCGAGCAAAAAAAATATGGCACCAGCACATGCCCGAGCCCAGCATGTGCATCATGGCTCAAAATTAAACTTCGACTAAGGCCTCGAGCATCAACGGCACATGATGGCGCATGGTGATGGCACTTGCATCGACCATCATCAGCACAGGTAGCCCTTTCGTATGAGTACTTGCCTCGACCGCTATCAGCACAAGCTGGCCCTTGGAACAGGCAGTTGCCTCGACCACCATCGACATATGCATGCCTTGATGAGAATCAGCACAAGTTGACCCTTGGTGCAGGCACTTGCCTCGATCACTGTTGGCACGTGCCGTGCCTCGATCAGCATCGACAGAAGATAGGCCCTTGTGTGGCCGGTTACCTTGAACACCATCGATACGTGCTGGGCCTTGGTAGGGCAGATGCCTCGACCACTATCAATGCGTGCATGCCTCAATCAGCATGCGCACAAGCTAGAATCGATGCGGGCACCTGCCTCGATCAGCATAGGCAGAAGATGGCCCTTGGTACGGGCAATCGCATCGAACACCATCGGCACACGCTGGCCCTTGGTGTGGGAACATGCCTCGACCACCATCGGCACTTGCTCACCCTCGATGCAGGATATGCCTGTTTGGAAAAAGTGTCCCCATTTCAGACACTTTAAGGTCTACTGGTAGGATATCTGTAAAATCTCTAATGCTCTTTAGGGGGTGGTGGTCCGGCACCCCCTCTGCCCCCCCACGGGGGGAGTAGGTGTGTGTGATGGGCCTCTCATTGCATGCACCCAGGGCAACGCCCCTTGAGTAAAATATAGGGCATACATGCCTTCCAACCATTTTGTCCGACGATTGGTTGCTCCGATGACCGACAGGCGTCCATGGCCTCGATCGGTTGACGTGCATACGAAAAGGGAGAGCCGAGCTTGAGCCCATGCACATGGTGGATGCTACCCTAGACCCTAGACCAAGTCCTTGAATCGGGCAACGGCTCCCTTGGGTGGTGTCAGTGCACCCCCGGTGGCCCTTGAAAATTCAGATGATCGAGTGCCGTCCGCGCCTGGTCGTACTCATAACCGTATCAGGTCTCCAAAGTGAACAACCTTTGGTCAATGGAACAATGTAGGTAAAGGAAGTCGGTAAAATGGATCCGTAACCTCGGGAAAAGGATAGGCTCTGAGGGCTGGGCACGAGGGTCCTAGTCCCAAACTCGCCGACTGTCGATGCACTACTCGAGCTGCTCTTGCGGCGAGAGCAAGTCACCGCGTGCTAGTCGGGGGATGGACTGGGAACAGCTCCCTCGAGGGCCTGTTTTGGGTGCCAAATAGTTGACTTAGAACTGGTACAAACAAGGGGAATCTGACTATTTAATTAAAACAAAGCATTGTGATGGTCCCTGCGGATTCTCACGCAATGTGATTTCTGCCCAGTGCTCTGAATGTCAAAGTGAAGAAACTCAACCAAGCGCGGGTAAATGGTGGGAGTAACTATGACTCTCTTAAGGTAGCCAAATGCCTCATCATCTAATTAGTGATGCGCATGAATGGATTAATGAGATTCCCACTATCTCTGCCTACTATCTAGCGAAACCACAGCCAAGGGAACGGGCTTGGCAAAATCAGTGGGGAAAGATGACCCTGTTCAGCTTGACTCTAGTTCAACTTTGTGGAATGACTTGAGAGGTGTAGGATAAGTGGGAGCCCTCGGGCGAAATTGAAATACCACTACTTTTAACATTATTTTACTTATTTTGTGAATTGGAGATGGGGCACGACCCCTTCTTTTAGACCCAAGGCTGGCCTTGATCGATCGATCCGGGCAAAAGACATTGTCAAGTGGGGAGTTTGGTAGGGGTGACACATTTGTTAAAAGATAACGTAGGTGTCCTAAGACGAGCTCAACAAGAACAGAAATCTTGTGTGGAATAAAAGGGTAAAAGCTCATTTGATTCTGATTTCCAGTATGAATACGAACTGTGAAAGCATGGCCTATCGATCCTTTAGACCTTTGGGATTTGAAACTAGAGGTGTCAGAAAAGTTACCACAGGGATAACTGGCTTGTGGCAGCCAAGCGTTCATAGCGACGTTGCTTTTTGATCCTTCGATGTCGGCTTTTCCTATCATTGTGAAACAAAATTCACCAAGTGTTGGATTGTTCACCCACCAATAGGGAACGTGAGTTGGGTTTAGACCGTTGCGAGATAGGTTAGTTTTACCCTACTGATGGTGATGTCACGATAGTAATTCAACCTAGTATGAGTAGAATCGTTGATTCACACAATTGATCATCGCGCTTGGTTGAAAAGCAACGACGCTAAGCGATCGTGTGTTAGATTATGATTGAATGCCTCTAAGTCAGAATTCAGGCTAAAAGTGATGCGCGTACCCGTTGCCCGATTTTTGACCCACAGTAGGGGCCCATGGCCCCCATGGGCACGTGTCGTAGGTGCAGCCCCTCCAGCGGACGAGCTACGCGGGCCTTCTTGGAGCTCAATTTCTAATGAATGATGGGTAGAATCCTTTGCAAATGACTTAAAGACACGACGGGGTACTGTAAGTGGTAGAGTGGCCTCGCTTCCACGATCCACTGAGATTCAGCCCTTTGTCGCTTCGATTCATCCTTCCCCCC